CCAGCCACTCTGTCCCAGCCTGGAGGACTGGGTGGGATTGCTGAAGCTTCACAGAAGGAAAAGGAACATGAAAAACCCTCTCTGTGAGCAGAGATTTGCCGTTAGGAACTCATTTACTGCAGTGCCTCCATCCTAGGTTTGGGGGGTCTCCTCTCCACCCAGAAAGCAACACAAATTAGCAGAACAGGTAACGTGGTTGCCTGCTAGACGCTCACTGCTCACAGTCAGTACACACCCGTTCATTTTTGTCTGTGCAGAAGAGTCTGGTGTGATGCCTTTTCTGCACAACTATGAAAGTGATTCCAGGTTGATAATCCTTCTCGAGTTTAATGCAAGCCTCTCTGATAGCCAGCAACTCATGGTGGAGGACCTGAAGCACAGAGAGAAAGGTGTGAGAAATGTGAACAACAGTGATCTTACAGAGTACTCTGCTTTAATTTCTTTTATTTATCATGTTCCTTCTTGCATTGTCACTCAGAGTAATAAGATGTCAAAGCATTCAGGATCAAACCTTAATTTCTTCCCTTAATGAGAACAAATTGGATCACTACTTTCCTGAGCCAGACAAGAGCTACTTCCATATTTGCTCAGCTCCAAGCATGAGGCTTGGACTAATAAGCTGCATGTGAAAACCTTTTTAACTGCCAAGTACAAATGAACATTTAATTAGGCTGTTGAATATGAAACAGTAATTATTTTCCAGACTAATACAAGGGATAACATCCAGACTTGCTCAGCTGCTCTTTCCCAGCTTTGTGAAGTCCCATGCAGGACCAAAACACACTGATTTGGGAGTTGGGTTCATTATACATTAAATATTCAGTGAAAACCAGTGATAAATGGGAAAGACAAGAGTTCATACAAAGATTATTTTATCAATTCAAGTTTACCAAGTGACCTTTACTCCCTTCCCTTTGGATTTGGAGTAGTTGACTAAATTCTGTATCCTTTAATTTACATACAAAAATATTGGAAAATACTGTAAATATTTCATGAAATCTGGTACCACTAAGCAAACAAAATAAAGAGGACAAAGTATCTGATGAGTTTTATCAGAAATGAATTGAGTGACAGTGTGAAAACACAGCATTTATTAATCCTGCCCAAGTTCTATGGGATATAGTCTGACTAATATATCTTGACTAGGTCAGAGATTGGAACATAACTTAAGTGCTAAAGCTGTACTTTATATGGGAAATATTTGAGAGGGGAAAAGGATTTTAAAAAGTACATAAAAAATAAGGAAACACTTCTCCACACCTACTCAGTTAGAATCCAACACATTTGCTGAGGGAAGATTTGTCGAAGTTATACTTCTTTTTGGAACTCCAACCATATAAAACCATAATACTACCAGAAAACTACATAAACAAAATCCCAGAAAGAAAACACTAACCTGTTGAAACTGCCCCTCAGAGACACCATCCCTGTAGAAGATGATACGAGTTGGTTTAAATCTCGTGGATTTGTAGAACTGGATAAGCAACTCCCTGACCATGGCAGCCAAATCCTGGATGATTTCTTGGCGGTGCTGCTGGACCCGAACAGTGGCACAGTATCGATTGGGATGAGCATCCATGCTTCCTACAACCTGGGGGAAAAATGCTTAGTGTCAAACCACACTTAAAGGCACTTCAATAAAGGTGTTTTTGTGAAGGTAACTGCACTGTCTTCCCATCAGTGTTCTGTGAACTAAGCAGGTGACCTGGCAAAGATGTAGTCAAAAAGATAATGTGCTTGGAAAGAGCTTTGAGTTTTCTACTTGTGGCAACATACCCTGCTGAAAGGGAAAATTTATTTTGAATCTAAAATACTGATTTTCTGTTAATTCCTATATACAAGTTGGAGCACTGATACCACAAAATTATGGATTTAGTTCAAACTGCAGCATTGGAATTAGAACTCCTGACACCCAAGTCCCTTTCTGGGACACTGTAGATGAATCTATTGAACTGAAATGATGAGGCACCACAAAAATATCCACCAAGGGAAGGGATTTTTCTGTTTATGGCATCAACATTCATATACTGTGAAAGTAGAATGGGACTTAAAAATAAACAGGCAAAAAAGTCTGAATTCCATACATTGGAACTCAGAAATAAGCAACTATCCATCTGGTTTTCCCTAGGCACACAAGTAACTTCTTCAAACAGGTATTTTCTTGTTTAGCACCACAGGCTAAGAACTGCACATAGCATCACCACAGATCTTCACTATTAAACAATCACAGAATCACAGAATTTAGGGGATGGAATGGACCTTACAGATCATCTAGTCCCAACCCCCTGCCCTGGGCAGGGACACCTCCTCACTAGATCAGGTTGCTCAAGGCTCATCCAGCCTGGCCTTGAACACCACCAGGGT